CATGGAGATCAACTTCCAATTCATGGCGCGCCACGTCGTTTCCCTCCCCCCGCAGAGCAGCGTGAAATTGATAAACATATTTTGGAATGATTAGATAATCAAAGGATATGCCTTTATCCATTTTTTTGCAGCAATTCCACTTTCTGTTTAACATACTTTCGCTTTGTAGATTCTTTACATGTTAGTAAATATATATCGGAAATTCTATTTGACATAATCAAGAGTTCAAGCTTACTTTTATAAAACTGCTCTAAAAGTCTGCAAAAGATAATAAGCCGGATTCAACCTGAAGATTAAGGAACAACGCAATCTGCAACATTGACTGAATTAGATAATTTTAGCTTAGCTTATACCGTCCGTTATACATTAAACGCGCATTTGTAAACGTATTATGCGCACACGCATATTCGCAGCCGTAAAGGTCTTACGCGCACGCGTAAAGCACCTTGACGCATGCACAGAAAGTTTGTAGCTTTGACGTCCGAATTAACGACTTTTGACTGTATTAGGTTCTAAGCGAATACAATAAATATGCCTTATTATTATTTATTTTCTCTATTTTGAACTGAAATTTCATCATTAAATCTTGTAATATAATTTAGTTCTTCATAGTTTTTTTTTTTTTTTTTTTTTTTTTTTTTTCCCCTCTCCATTGTAAACTAGTTCTGTAAATTGAACTATTATTTAAAATTTAAAAAAAAAAAAAGTAATTATTTTCCATGGTTGAGGTAATGCTTATTCTCTCTTAATAAGTACTTCATTTCTCATATTTTAAATTACAAGTCTAATTTTTAAGGTTATGCGGTTGTGTATGATGTAATTAGACAGGTACTTATTTTTTTCTTAAAATGTGCTTGAAAAGTGCTTATAGGTGCTTATTTTTATAACTAAAATGTGGCTATGAACCCTGGTTGTTGTTTCTTCTCTAATTCTGCCTGTGCATGCTATGTGTATAGAAACATCATTATTTAAATAACAGATTTTGCAAGGGCAAAGGGAAAACTTCATCTCTCCTTTTTTTTTCATAACATTAGATGGAAGACCAGATTTTCCCTAGTTTCATACTGCCTCGTCATAGCATTCAAGTAGGAAGAAATGAGTGTTTATTGCTTAACTGCATTTACTGCAGTGTTATATCACGTTTTTGGGATAATTAATTATGCAAAGGCAAGTTTTTAATTAAGACTAACCACATAAGCAAGTAATTAAGACAATTTAATTGAGTTAAAATAATAATAATAAATTAATCAAGTTTAAATACATTTAATTCTTATTTATCTCCTCCTAAACAAATAAAAGTGAATAGGTAAAATGTGCTTTTTCGCAACATCTGTTGATCTGATTATGTAAATTGTTCTTTTCTAGTCAAATTATTTTAAGACTAAGATTTATTAAAATAATTTTATCCATTTCCATAGCATTCTTTAAAATGGGTGTTATAGTGATGAGCACATACAGTAAATTATTGAAGATCTTTGGTTTGCGTCTCAGTGAAGTACTGCTGATTTATATGTTTCCTACTCTTTTTTAAAAATAATAATAATGTCATACAATCATATTGTAGAATCGGTACTTACTGTCTAGGAATATGATGTCTGTAAGCTTACTTCTTAGGTGGCTGTCTAGGGGCTAATAAACTAATCCGATTTACAAATAACTTGAATATTTAATAAAAACATGAATAGTTGCTACAAACTACAAAATGATTACATGTGTAGAAGGATGAATTTACATAGATGATATTTACAGATGAAGAGAATCGACCATCTTTTACATGTAAACATCTTTCAGTCAAATCGTCGTCTTAATGGCAGAATGGTCTGACTTCTATCATCGGAAAAGTAAAAGATTTATTCTCACAGCTTGTCGCGTCATCCGATTATAATGAACGATGCCATCCCACAATATTTTAAATGTGTATTGAGGGATGTAGAGACTATCTACATCTCTCAATACATATTTAAGCACACATGGAAGGAATACTCTACATCCCTCACTGCCATTAAGTACTGTGATGTCATTGTGCAACCAACTGGAAAATTTGCTGTTTAATTCTTTGCAAGAGTATCGAACACTGTTTTCATATTTTCTGCTCTGGAAGGGGGGGACTGTATGAACCTGTGAAAATTGAATTTAGCTATATCAGTTAATATACTGATTACTATATGTAGTCGGCCTATTGATAAATACTGATTTACTGCTTGAAATATTTCAAATATAACTGTGGCCTTTGTTAAAAAGAAAATAATAATAATAAAAAAAAAAAAGCTCTTTTTTTTTTTTTTTTAATATGGATTTGTAAGTGCAGAGAAAAGAGAAAAAACATAAAATTGAAAAAAGTTTTGAATATTTGTACAGTCAAAAGTCTTTAATCCGGACGTCCATAATCCAGAATGATCTATAAATCCGGATCTCAAAGCTACAAACTTTCTGCACATACGTCAATGCATAATGCGTTGATTCATGCGCATACCTTTACGCATGCACGTTTAATGCATAACAAACGGTATAAGCTAAGCTAAAATTATCTAATTATCTGTTTCAGTTAATGTTACAGATTGCGTTGTTCCCTAATCTTCTAATCTGATCCGGCTTATTATTTTTTGCAGACTGTTAGAGCAATTTTATAAAAGTTAGCTTGAACTTTCGATTATGTCAAAAAGAATGTTCGATTCTGGAGCTGCCAAAGGATCTACAAAGCGAAAGCATGCTTTGATGTCCATCAAACAAAAAACGGAATTGCTGCAAAAAATGGATAAAAACATATCCTTTGTTTCTCTAACCATTCTGAAATCTGTTTATGAATTTCACGCTGTCCTGCGTGGAGAGGGGGACGTCGCAGCACACAATGAACTGGAAATTGATCTGTCAGCACTATCCTTATCTTCAGGGCAGATGTTTTTATTTTATTTGGCTTATAATTCCTTACTAAATGTAGTATTTCATCACTCCGTCTTTGATATGATTTAAATCAAATTCCCCGATCATTATAAATAACATGAATACACATCAAATAGTTTTCTGGTTGTAATTTTCTAATTTTGACTATGCATAATGTATGCTTTATGCATGCGCCCGTTGAAAGAAATGTTTAATAAAGTAAACAAATAAATATTAAGCTTTTTTTGTGTGTGTAAATTTTGATACCCTTTAGATCATAATTGCTCTTTATTTCATAAATTACGGTTTCATATTTTTAATTTTATAATTTCTGCATACCATCTTACCAGATTTAAACTGATGATCTATAATCCATAAAAACCGATAATCCGGAATCGCCGAAGTCCCGACGAGTCCGGATTAAAGACTTTTGACTGTAATACGAAATAACTGAAGATGCATCTTAATGTTTTTTCCCTAAATCCTAAACACATTATTAACAATGCTTACCAATTAATAACATTAAGAAATTTATTTATGAAGAATTAGGAAAGAAAAATTCACCTTTGGTTAAATAGGTGAAACTGCTGTGTTCTGTTATTTTGTGTTAGGTATGATATCAAATGTGCAATCCCCCAACCTGAAAAAACTGAGAGATTGTCATCAGTACCTCTTATGCATGGTGAATTCAAACCTAGAGGTTTTATTAGAAACTTAAAGCACAGACTTCTGACTAGTTCTGGGAGAGAGATGTTTGTACTCGTATTCTGATGGCAGATTACAATATGTAAAGAAACAATTGTAGCACAGAAAGTTCTGTGGCAACTAAGGTGCTGTAAAGCATATTACCAGACAGCATTGGAAAAAGAGAATATCTTGTGGTTTGACAAATTGCTGTGCATGTTAAGGAGAGCTAGTTGATGTATGTTGACAAAGCAACTGTCGTGGGTATGCTATGTAGTTGACTGAGTTGTTCCAGCTGTAAAATTTGATGTAGGAGAAAATTTCTGTATGCCTATTTTTCTTTTCGTGTTCAGTTAATTTTTATGTCTGGAAATTTTATTGCTGAAAGTAATAAATCATAAAGTCAGAATTCTTCTTATTCTTCGACAATATCTCAAATGTTGACTATGGTACAAGGAGATTGATATGAAATACATGTTTAGTTAATAAGTAGTTTTTGGTAAAGGAAAATTAATAAAAGTCCATTTTTATGAAGAGATTCATTAAAATTAGTGTGTTTGGGAGAGTGTGTTTGTATGTGCACAAATATATAAGAAAAATATATATATAAATGAAATAGGTTATCTAAATATGGCAAAGTACATGAGAGCTATTTGCCTAAGGGAGTAATGTGTTCATGGAAAAATGGCCCACCAGCGGCCGAGCGGTAAAGTTGCTGAACACTGGTAGTTCGGTCTGAGGTTCGAATCTTGCGAACGGGCCAGCTGCATGGGTGTTTTCGGGGTTTTCCCTATGTGTAACGTGTATACGAGCCAGTTCCCCTTAGAAAGTCCTCCACGAAGGCATCCCTCCCTTAGGCAGATAGCCCTCGAGGCTTTGCCATAATCACACGCACACCTTCATGGAAAACTTCCTATGGGAAACTGGCTCATATTCATATTATACATGTGGAAAATGACAAAATCCAACCATACAGCCTGTTTGCCTGTGGTCAAACTCCCAGCATTCAATATGCATATTATTAATTATGTGATATAAAAGTATGTAATTAAGTAATATAAAAGTACTTATTTTTTTATTTGCCTCTGGTGAGGTCTGTGAATAAAATAAGATTGAATCATTAATAAAAATTTGGAAAAACAGTTGCTTTAATAATAATCGCTTTTATGAAACTCTGTTGTGTTTATTTGAAACTGAAGAATGTACCTTTTTCTCTTGCTTTCAAGGTATTACCTGTTCTTTGAATTAAATCTTGGATTATCAAACTCTTTCACCAATTAAGACAGAAAGTTCAATTATAATAAACTCTATAGAATGCTTTCTTTTTAATGTAATTCACTAGTAGTACGAAATGTGTGTCTTTAATTTTTTTCCTTATTAAAATTTTTGTAAACTGTAAAGATCAAGTTTTAATGCAATTTTATTTTATTTTTTAGATACTTTTAGAATTGCGAGGAAATACCAGTGAATTTCCAGTCATTATGTAATATAAAAGTATTTATTTTTTACCAGGAAAATATATGATTACAGAATTTTATTTCAATCTATATTTGCAATAAATAAATTTGTATTCTTATATCAAATGTTATTTTTTCTTGTGTGTCCATCTTGTCTTCTAAAATGTGGTGATGTATCAAAATGATGAGATTGTCAGGAATTTTAGACCATATCAGAGTCAAAAAAACTCACAGAATTTGCATTGTTAACTAAAATTGAATGTGAAAAATTTGAGTTTTTATGTACTGAAATATTATGCAAAAGCAACACTTTTCTGTACTTTATTATGACAATTTACTTTTTTGTCACTCAGTTACGTTTAGATTAGCATAATAAAACCTGTTGTTGTGGTATTATGGAATTTATAATCAATAAACAAGTATCCCTCTTAACTCCCTAAAAATGGTATCTCGCATCTTTTCTAGATTTTTTACTTCTGAACTTTTTTAGTGTGGAGAGCATCCATTGTTTTCAACACAGTGCTTTATTGTTTCTTTTCTGGGCCATGGTAATGAAGCCATGTTTCTTCTTCTGTCAGTATCCTCTAAATTTTTTAACATATTTATAAATGATAACAGATATTAAGAACATTCAGGCTAATGTTTGTTTGTTTCTGGCATTAAGATACTAATTATTATATCTGTAGGAAAAGCAGATTTTCAGCATTCCTGGCTTTTCTTGCAAGATTTCTTCCATTGATCTAACATGGATGCCCATTGTCATAGCAGTCTGAGAGGCAGTCAGTCCCCTATTTCCGATATGCAGTACAAAGTCTAAAATCTGGACATCTGATATCAGAACCTTTGGACCACTAGCATATTTTTTTTTTTTTAAACAAAACTTAGGAATAGAGAATATAATGCCTCAGAAAAACAGGTATGCCATAAAAGAAAATTTTATTCTGGCTAACTGAGATTCCTGTTTGTCATTATCAAACACCTATTGGCTAGGAAATCACGTCATGGCCAGTGACAGTACGTTGATTGACATTAGCTGTGAAAGCACCTTTGGCCCGAGTGGTTGTATGGGGGTTTAATATTTTTCTATCTGAACTAAACAATAAGTGAAGCCTCAAGACATAAGAGTTTGCTGATACAGTAGACTCCCGATAATCCGCGGGCAGATTTATGCGCGGAGCCGCACAATTTTTCTTTTTTTTTTTACAAGCGTGAAGCACAGAAAATAAAAATGTTCACAAAACTTAGCGAAATGTTAAATTTGCTAAACATCGTGCTTATTTATAGCAAAAATATCCCAGGCCTTCTCAGAACCTTCCCCTCTGATGAGTAAGTTATTTCTTACTCACACTTGCAGTTCCCGCTCCACGGCCCTCTCTCGTCTTAATCTTACTGATACGTCCACATCCTCCCACCGCCATTGTTAGTTTAAGCCTGATAGTGTTTGAGAACCGGTTGGAGTTAATTTCTTATCTTTTATTGTGTTCAGTGCTTGTGCTTTTTGGTTTTGTGTTTTTAGTTACCGATTTTAAATGTCAGGAAAACAAAATAAGATTGTGTTGACGATTGCGCAAAAACTAGAATTAATTTCCAAAGTAGCAAATGGCGCTACAAAGCAGCAGATGGAATTGGATTGAGGAAACAACAGTGCGTGACATTTTAAAGCAAAAAGACAAACTGGTGAACTTTGCACCAATGTTGGACAGTGCTTCCGCAATGAAAACGCGAAAAACTATGAAGGGTTCTACCTTTGATGAGCTAGACACGGCATTGACAGAGTGGTTAGCTCAAGTTCAAAATGAGGGTACTCCTGTAAATGGTCCTATCATTGTGATGAAGGCAAAAACCTTTTTTGAGTTGTTAGGCCTGAAAGGAAATTTTGATGTGTCTTCTGGCTGGTTGACTCGTTTTAAGCAGCGACATGGAATTCGAGAAATTGGACTTCATGGGGAGAAACTTAGTGGTGACCAACAAGCAGCCGACGATTTCCACCATGAATTTGAAGAATTTGTTTTGAAAGAAGAGCTATCTTTTGAACAAATTTACAATGCCGACGAATCGGGACTTTTGTGGAAATGTCTTCCAACTCGCACTTTAGCATTTGAAAGTGAAAGTAAAGCGGCGGGTCATAAAAGCAGCAAGGAAAGGATCACTATCATGTTTTGCAGTAACGCTACCGGCGGACATAAACTTAGACTTGTTGTCATTGGAAAGTTAAAAAAAGAAAAAAGAAAAAAAAAAAAAAAAAAACGAGATCTTTCAAATGCACAGGGATAGAAAATTTGCCCGTTGATTACTTTAACCAAAAAAAAAAAAAAAGGATGGATAAACCGAAACATTTTTCAAGATGGTTTGAAAAAATCTTTGTTCTTCAAGTACGTGAATATCTTAAATCGAAAACCTGCCCGAAAAAGCTGTGCTATTGATCGACAACGTACCTTCTCACCCAGCAACAAGCGTGCTAAAGTCTTCTGATGGACAAGTTTTTGCAAAGTTTCTCCTCCCAAACTTTACTGCGCTAATCCAACCCATGGACCAATGAGTCAGTGCAACAATGAAGAGAACATACCGAACCAAGCTGCTAATGACCAAAATTGAAGAAGGTTATGATCTGAAAGAATTTTGGAAACACTACACAATCTTGGACAGCATCTACGATATTGCATCTGCATGGGACTCAGTGAAACTGTCAACCGTCATAAAATCCTGGAGAAAACTCATGCCTAACGTTGAAGCCAGCAACAACCTAACCCCTTTGAGTTGTGAAGAAGAGAAAGAAGATGTAGACACGCCCACTGCAACTCTTGCCGATATGGTGAAAACAGTTCCGGGTGGTGAGAACGTCGATGCTGAAAACATTAATGAGTGGTTGGAGTGTGATGTCAATGAACCTGGCTTCGAACACTTGACAGATGACAAAGTTGTGAAGAAAGCAAAGGAAGAGACCGAGATTGAAGGAGAGCGAAGTGAAGGCGAAGAAAAGCCCACTGTGCAGATGCGGATGCGGCTTTGCAACAAGTCGATAGACTGCTAAGCTATTTGAAAGAACAAGACGACGCGGAGTTGGCCTAGAAACTTATGCTACGAAAAATGCAATCTCGGATCAAGAGAAAATGCTTCCAAAGCAAGAAGCAAACACAAATGACTGATTTCTTCTAAAAGGTGTAGTTTTACAGTTATGCATTTGTAATTACATACAGGGTTCGTACGCATTTCTGCACACGGAAATTAAGGACCATTAGTGAAAAAATTAAGGACATATATGCAAATGGGAGCTGAATAAATTCAATTAAAAATATTTTGCTATGCCTGAATTTCACTTTTGTAATACCATCCTAAAAATAAAATAGATCCCTAAGTAGTATGCAGTATTACTAAACATGAATTAACTAACATAATTATTAAAAAGTTTGAGAATAAAATAAACTTTGTGCAACTTATCAAGTAGCATTAAATATTTGACACTTATAATAGTTGGTCATATTTGAAAGAAGATAGTGTAACGTCATCAGCTATTTTCCCACGGGCTCCCACGAAGTCTGGGAAAAGGAGACTTCAAATGGGCGCCAGATGACCACCCTGATGACACTTACGAATTCTTGAGGTCGAACGTGACCCCCAACAAAGTTCGGAAAGCATATTGTTTTTACGAAAGGAGAAAACTTTCATACAAGTTCTCACGGGTTGTGGAGTGTCCATTGTGTGTATGCGATAGACTGTCGCCAACTGCCTGTTTCTCGAAATAATTTAGATAGACCTCCCAAAAAGACGTTCTGAATTTTCCCACGGAAAATTTCAGTTTCTCAGGCTGTCAAGACAGTATCTGAGAACAATCAGCGCCTGCTAACCAATGGAGAGATGCTCCGAAGAAGACGTTTAGCGAATCACTGCAGCAGACGCACAAGACACGCCCAGAAAACCTGGACATAAAAACAGTGAGTGAAAATAATTAGAGAGTTTTTTTTAGTCTGAAGTATACGCAGTCGTTGCGTAGAGAAGAGAGAGCCTTTCTCTTGTATTTTACGGCTCTTCCCGAGTCGCTAGTAAGCTTTAGAGAGCCCCTTTCTCTCTTGTGTATTTTACGGCTCGTCCCGAGTCGCTACTAAGCTCTGTCAAGAGCGGAAAAAGAAACCCTCAAAGAAGCGTAGCCGGACTTTTTCTCCGCTACCTCTGTTTGAACTCAAGTGATTATCGTTTCCTATTGGAAATGGACTACTTTGCTAAGCAAACTACTTTGTTATGATAAGCAGTTGAACTTACCTTAAAATTCAATTTGTGAAATTTAACACTTACCTTATTTTTAATTACACTACCAATAAAAATTGCTACAGCTAGAAGGTATGTGTTAATTGGTGGCAGCGGTGGGATCGTAAAAAAAAACCCAATAGACAAACAAAGACGTGATCGTTTTGGAGAACCGTCCCGGTTCTTATCTTCATTCAGAATCAGCCGATTATAGCAGTGGAAAAGAATTCTTTCGCAGTAAAGATTGGAGAGTTTAACCAGCAGCTGAAAAGGGATCATCGATGAGAAGCGTTCGTGAAGAATCAACTACTACAAAGACTAGTTCCGGAAGTGCCTGGGAAAGAGTGTGAAGTAAAATTCTCCCTCGGGTGTAAAGACAAGACATAAGAAGTCCAGACAAGAGTGAAGTGTTGTGAATTCGCGTTTGGTGTTTACCACCCTCTGTGCAGTGAAAGTGCTTTTGGTGTTTAGTGAAAGAAGAATCGCCCAGTCGACTATTGTTCAATTGGTTTCCTTCTTCGGTCATTGAATCGCGTGTGCAAATAGAAAAGAAAGGAAAGAAGAGCTGTTATTTTTTTGTCTGCAATGAGTAAGTTGATATGGCATTATCTTTTTTAAAGAGGCATTTTAATGGAGTTTGTCTTTTGTGTATCGAAATTATATGTTTAAATGGTTACTCGTAAATGTTTTGTTTTTAATGAGTAGAGAATTTTATAATAGTATTTTCAACCTTTAGAAAGCACACATCAGTTGTAAATTGAGTGAATAAGTATTGCTCTTTGTGACTAGTATTCTTTTGCCAATAAGTATTTAGCAAATGTTTTTTTTATATACTGCATTAAGTATGGTTATGTGTTAAGCTGCAACAGATTATTTAAGAAATG